GTCGCGGGGCCGCCCCCCCTTGGTGCGGGGGGGGGGGGGGGGAGGTTGGAAGCCAGAGCAGGGTCCTCAGGGGCTCCCCCGGTGCACGAGACACAGGCGTTCAGTTCTAAATAGACAGGGGCGAGCCATGCCCCTCATTCTGTCCCTGCCCCCCCAGTGTGGCCCCCCAACCCAACGCAGGCCAGGACTCAGCTGTTTCATCATTTGACATGCTATTCCAGGCTGGCCAGCTCCATGGAAGGGAGGAAGGGAGGGTTGCTATGGTGATTATGACTGCTGCACTCCCCACTCCCGGGAAGGATGAGGAGATATTTTTTAGGCCGCTTCGTCTTGGGGACTTGTAGCTGAGGTGGCTAAAATGGGGTAGGCGAGAGGGGCCGCTGCCATGACACTGGCCCCGAGCACATGCATGTGCCTGCAGAGGGAAGAGGCGAGGCAGGCTGGGTAGCAGTGGTGGTGGGTGGGAGGGGGGTGCCGCTGCAGGCTCTACCCAGCTGTCAGCTCCAGCCCTGCTGAGTCAAGCCGCTACATTGCTGGATTAATAATTGGCTCCCTCCTTCCCTCAGCAAGACCCCGCAGAGGGGAGGAGCAACAGCTCTGAAGAAGTTGGGCGGGGGGGAGCAGAAAGACCAGTGCTGCTCCACTCTGGCCTCTCCCAGCAAGGGGCACTGGCTGGGCAAGGAGACCTCAGCTTTTGGGGATCGGGCAGGATTGCTGGCAGAGCTGAAACAACCCAACAGGAAAAGTAGCCCCAAAAAGCCATGGCAGAGCTGTGCTGGGCTGCTGAGTGGGACTCCAGCAATGCCCCTGCCCCTTATGCCCTGCCAGCACCACCAACCCCAGCACCCCCCCAAGTCCAACTCGCCCTACCACCATGCACCACTGCACAGAGCAACCTACATTCAGGGCAGTGAAGTGGTTACAACTAAGCAGTGTTGCCATGGGCAACAACAAAGCTCAGAGTGGATCCAGAATAAAAAGAGGCCTTCAAGCTTTGATCCCTGCCCTCCTGAACCTCTTGCAACCTTTCCCTGGTCCCAGATGCAGGCTGCAAGGAGTTGGCTTGAGGCTTTCCCTGGGGCCACAGAACCAAAGCAGATGAGGTCTTGTCAGTGTTGTGCCCCAAGTGATGGCCAGGGAACGACATCTCCGCCCAGCTATACTGATTCCCACAAGACAGGGCTCACAGGACTCCAGTCCTGTGCTCACACCACTGGCACACAAAGGAGACTATATATGGACTGGTTGCTAAGAAGTCATTTTTGCCCTTGAAGTACCCCAATCATTTAAACCCAAACTGCAGAGTCTCAGAAGGGACATTTTGAATTCAGTGTCCTGCAGCTTTAAAATTAGTAACAGTACTGCACAGGCAGAAATGGGCACTGGGTTTGGTCTCAGGGTTGCAAAGGGTGTCACGCACCCCACACCCTCTCCCATGGACACTTCACTTTGGTCTTTTCTTGTTACTTTAACACAAAGGGGCCCAGGCTCTGCTCTTTGCAAAACATGAGAGTTGGAGACACAATGGGATGGGGCTGAGCAGGAACCAAAGCCCTGCTAAGCAGTAACTCCTTGAACAGAGACTAGATAGAAGGTTATTATAGTCATTGGGGATGGACAGCCGGGGGTGAGCTGACCCCCTTGCCTGCTGCTGCTGTATTCCAGCAACCTGCCATCACCACCTGCTGCCAGATCAAGGATAAAAAACATGTCAAGTCCCCTGGAGAGAACCTTTCACACAAGTACCCCTGGGGCTCCATGCCACTGCTGCTCAGAAAAGGCACACCAAAGCTAGTCAAACCCCTGCCCACCGCTTGTACCTGTCTCACGAAGCTGTTGGAAGTTGTGTCCGAGGAGGTGCTGCCATCCGAGCGTTTGAAACGACTCTTCCGCTTGCCGTATTTCCCCTGGGGGAGAGAAGGGGGCCTGGTTAGTGAGTGCACGGGGCCCCACAGGCAGAGGGGAGCAGGCACTGGCTGCAGAGGATAAATAACTCAGGGAACTCCTCGAGGAAGGATGCTGAAGACTCTTGAAGTGCTTTGATAAGCATGACCGAATCTTCAAGCCCAAGGTCAGACCCATCACCCCATTATGGGCTGGGAAGGAATTTTTCTCTTAGGTCAGCTCAGCACAGACTGAGGTATTTTGCCTTCCTCTGTAGCATGGGACATGGTCCTTTTCCTAGGAGCTCCTGAGCATACATTATCCAACTACTTGCAGTGGCAAGGCATTGGCAGTGCCCCTGTCTCTGTGCTATCTATTTTCTGTGGCACGTTATAGGATGCTGGCAGCGTTTCGGGTATTGTGTCTTGTAGTTGTGGGTGAGGGTTTGAAGTGGTGATCCTGGAGATTCCTTGAATAAGTGGAAAGACACTAGATTCTAGAGCCCAAGAGGCCTCTTTTAGTCTGTTGGTCCTCACACCACCACCTAGGAGGCAACTCAGTGTCCTAAATCCCATTGTACAGATGAGGCAAACTGGGGCATAGCAGCATGGTTTACTCAAAGCCACCCAAGCAGGAGATCTGGAAACAAAACCCAGGAGTCCTGCTCCAATTGACAGACCATAAGCTGTTTCTGTGACCACACTGGAGGCATATATGGGAAAGGGCAGCTTG